AGGCGCCCGCCACAACGCCCGGCCATTTTTTGGTTGCAGCCATCATTGTTGTTTGGCGGCCCGGGCTGGGGATTTGAACCCGCCGCCTTAGGTGTATGTGGCTGGCGCCTTAGCCGCTTGAGCCACAGGCGCCAAGCCCAAGTTTAGGAGTTTTATTTGAATCTACCAAAAGCTCTTGCCTTCTCTAAAAAAGAAAGGTGCCCATTAAGAAGGCATCTGATCAAGCACACAGAAGTGTAGGGAAGGGAGAGTCAGAAAAGCAAATCTTGGCTAGGGGCCTGTAGCTCAGCAGCTAGGGTGCCAGCCACATACATCAAGGGTGGAGGGTTTGAACCCAGCCCAGGCCTGCCAAACAACAATGACAACTACAATAAAAAAATAGCCGGGCATTGTGGTGCCTGTAGTCCCAGCCACTTGGGAGCCTGAGGCAAGAGAATCACTTGGCCCTAGAGTTTGAGGTTGCTGTGAGCTGTGACGCCACAGCACTCTACCGAGGGCAACATAATGAAACTCTGTCTCACAAAAAAAAAAAGCAAATCTTAGCAGTGCCTGTACTGTACCAGCAGGAGTAAGGAGGCCCCATCAGGCTAGTTCAGAAGTCAGAGCTCTTCCTCATGTGAACAAGGGCAGTCCAGGCTTCCCAAGACTGGTGGCTTCACACATTGGAATCATATAACTCCATCTCCACACTCAGTAATTTGGTGTCCCCTGTGGTATGACTATAGAGATAATGTACTAGGAATTCCACTAAAAATACCATGAGACCAAAGATTGTGTGTGCCTTCTTCACCAGGGTAACCCTGGCACCTAGAACACGTAGGTGTGTAAGATTTATTGAACGACTAATTGCATCAGTGATTAGGCCAACAGGAGTAACTGCTTGGCCCAGCAGTTTTATTCTCCTTACAAGTGTCTTTTTAAAAAGTTGCCTCCAAGCCTTGGTGTTGAATCTGGTCTCTTCTCCAATAATTCCCTTTATTTCTCTCTTCTTAACCAAATCCTAACTCATTGTTTTGAGGCTTAGTTCAAATTGTCTTGCAAGCTACCAGTCCTTTCCCTTTACCTGAATGCCCAGAATGACATAGGCCGTAATTATTTGCTGAGAATGGATCAAAAGAAGAGATAGAACTACGAGTGGATGGGGCATGAGGGACATTCTAGGAAGCACAGCATCTCTTCAGGGAAGAGAAAAGGCATGGTATAGCTCTATGTAGAGGTAAGAAGGGTGAGGTACCTCGGAGTCCTTCTCCCAGACCCCAGATCCAACTCAGCAGTGGTCCTGTCTGCCGAACATATCCAGACCCTGACCATCTCTCCCCACATCCTCTGCTTCCACACAGCCGGGGTTCCCACTCTCACTCCAGACATAACTTGCAGAACCTCACAGCTGGTCTCCCTGCCCTGCCCTTGGCCCTGTATGTTGGATTTTCAATAGCAGCCAGAGGGCCTCTACTCAAAACCATCAGATGGCTTCCTACCGCATACAAAGTAAAACCAGGCTTTCCAGGGGCCTCCATGACCTTTGACCTCACCCTGCTTACCTAGCCTTCTAGCTGCCCCTAGACACTGGCATGTGCCCAACTGAGCACCTTTGCTCTAGCTGTTCCCTTTACCTGGTGTGCTTTCCCTCAAAACACCTGCAGAGGGGCCTCCCTGCCACTCTCAGGCCTTTGCTCTACTGTCACTCCCTTTGTGAGGCCTATCCTGGCTCCCGTATTAAAACTGTGAGCTCTATTGTGATACACGCTGTACTCCAGCCATCTCCCATACCACACAGTATGTGATTCTTACTTATCATCCTCCACACCCCGGTTCCAGCACCCCCCACTTTCCCCCCAGATCTGGCACAGGGTAGATGTCTCGTACACATTTGCTGATGGATATAGGGCCAGATCAAAACAGTGGATGGGGCTTGCTCTAAGCTGGGCGAAGGGGCCAACTGACCAGATAGATGATAATATTTGGCTACCCTGTGGAGGACCCTCAGCCATGGCCCAGGCAGGGGGACAGACAGCAAGAGGCACAGGTATCTGTTACAATCCAAACTGCCCCTCCCTGCCTGTGGACCATTTTAGGAGCCCATCTATAGAAATAAGAGCACCAGCACAAAGATCCGATGTATAAGTATTTATTGCAGCATTGTTTGAAGTAGTAAAAAAACAAACACAAAACCTAGAAACAACCCGGATTTCTAAAACTAGGAGACTAACTGAATAAATAATGTATCTGCTCTAAGGGCTAGCATTTAGCTATAAAAAATAAGTTATATATAAATGGGTGGATCTGGAAAGATGTCCATGATAAACTGTTAAGTGAAGGAAGAGACTGTTATTGAACATATTACAATACGATCCAGTGTTTAAAAAAAGAATCTTATGTGCATATATAAAATATATGCGCATTTATCTTTCAACATGTTTGTATAAGCATCAAAAAATAAGAAAAGAGCCCATCAAATTGTTACCATTGCTCATTGTAGAGGGGTGGGATTGGAGGGGAGAAGGGAAAACTTCTGCACAAGTTACTTGCTATGACAGGTGGTTACTACTTTTACTTAAAAAAAAAAAGCCAGGTAGGTCCCTCCTATCCTGACTCTTCTTCCCCAGGAGGAGACACTTTGCCTCTGCAGTGCAGCCCAACATTCAGCCAGAGGGTCTCACCTTCCAAGCAGCCGGCCCCATCCATCTACCTGCCTCCCATCCTGGTGGCCCAATCTCACCTGCGGCCCGCCAGCATGTGCCAAGCCAACGGGGCCTATAGCCGGGAACAGTTCAGGCCTCAAGCCACCCGTAAGCGAGAAGGCCTCGGCTGGGGCCTCTCACCTGTCTGCCCGGGCGGGGTTGGGGACAAGCAGCCTGCAGGGCAGGTGAACAGGTAGCTCATGCTTTTCCTACTAATGTTCTTCAGCCCTGGCACATTAGCTTGGGGGTGTTCAGGGTGCCAGGGAAACCAATCAGGTGGTCCCCTCTCTTTTTGTAATTTTTCCAGAACTCTCATGATTAACTAGACTCTAACAATCTTTAATGAACATTTGGCTATCAGGCCTCAAGGCCACTCTCCTCTTGCCCTAACGTGGCCCCTGAAATTGAGCTCCTCTGCACTCCAGCCCACTCATGGACTTGGAGGGGACTTGGTCCCTTCTTCCCACTTGGCATCAGACATCCGTAACTTTTGGCCCAGGTGCTCCTCACATCTTCCCCCACCTGCTACACACAGGTTGCCACCACAGGCACCACTGAGGCCCCTAGGAGGTTTCTGCACCTTGCTGTACACCAAAGCAGTGTGTGGGTTTTGACAAATCCCTTTTCTTGGTTCCTTCACCCTCTTCTGCCTATCTTCATGTGCTATGCTCAGAAGCACCAGGGCAGAAGAGGCTGGGTCTTCAGAAGCCCTATTGACAGGGCCCAGGCACTTTGCAGCAGGCACGTGTGAATGGGAACACAGACCATGACTGGGGCACGCTTCACAAACCAACTAGGCCATTTCTGGGCCCTGCAGGAGATCTGGAGAAGGAGAAACAGAGACTCCAAAATATCTTTGCCACCGGGAAGGACCCAGAGAAGCGGAAAAGAAAGGCCCCTTCTGTGAGACAGGAGGACCCAGCCCCTGAGCTGGACCGGTTTGAAGAGCGTAAGCCACCCACGGGCCAGTTACACTGGGGGGGCGGGGGCAGTGTGTAGAGGGACCCCTGGGGGCCAACAGGTGAGAAAAACCATCTGACAACAGAAGTGCTTCCCCTCCCTGAGAGGCAGTCTGCTGCCCCACACCCCACATACAGCCTGGTGGCCCCCAGCACCCCACATGCTGACAGCCCTTCTCCACTGTCCAGTGGTGAAAGAAATCCAGGAGAGGAGAGAATTCCTGGCTGACATGGAAGCCCTGGGACAGGGCAAGCAGTATCGAGGACTCATCCTGGCTGAAATCTCCCAGGTAGAAGAAACCACCGGGGAAGTGGGGAGGGGAGGGGCCCAACATAAATGTGAGTAGAAATCAAGGGCCAGCCCTCTCTGTGGGGCTCAGGAGTCAAGCTCTTGCTCACATCTGGCCTGGCTCCTCAGGTTTCTACCCCTGATACCACCTTTCCCTGATGCCTTTTGCAGAAAGTACGGGAGATGGAAGATATTGACCACAAGCGGAGTGAGGAACTTAGGAATGCTCTTGCCACCCTTAGTGTGGCTCTAGCAACAGGACCAGGATAGCCCAATCTTGATCCCTGGAGCCCACTCCTTTGCCAAGCAGGGTGGTCCCCAGGTCAGCCCAGCCACATCAAAGGGTCACACAGCACTGCCCTGGCCTGCAGTACCTTAACACGTACACAGCAGCCTAGCCCTGCCCAGGGAGGCCGAGGCAGTTCTTGGCGCCTCCAAGACCTACAGTCACAGACATGAGCTTGGAGTCTTTTCTAGCAGAAAGAGCCCCATCCCATCCTCAGTGAAAGCAAGGCCTGGGCGGTCCTTCCACCTCGGACATGTCTGTAAGGGCATCCACTGGACCCTCTTCCTGCCACCTCCAGCCTCTGTGTGTCCTGCTCATTTAGTTTCCTAAACTTATGAATAATTTTGATTCCTTTCTTCCTATTTCTCTTGGGATCTACATTTTTGACTTCTTACTGCATTGGACAAATGTTCAACCACAATGATTAACTGGCCAATAAAGCACATTTAAAATGGGTCATTACACATACTATTTTGTTTTTAGAGGGATAAGGCTTATTTGTTCAAAGAGATAGAATCTGTCAAGCACAGATGGTCCCCAGATACCTCTTTGCATATTTTAAGTGGAAATGGGAACCAGTGCTCTTGAGCACCCCATAGCTGGGCACTGTGGTAGGTACTGAATTTCACTTGTTTATTATCTCAGTAAACTTCTGGGATGGTTCATTATCCCTCCAGAAAAACTAAGACTCACGAAAATACTTCTACCAAGGGCATTTAACTAGCAAGTAGCCTGCTCAGCATTAAAAGTTAGCTTTATATGGCTCAGCGCCTGTGGCTCAAGCGGCTAAGGCGCCAGCCACATACACCTAAGGTGGTGGATTTGAATCCCCAGCCCGGGCCCGCCAAACAACAATGATGGCTGCAACCAAAAAATGGCCGGGTGCTGTGGCGGGCACCTGTAGTCCCAGCTACTTGGGAGGCTGAGGCAGGAGACTCGTTTGAGCCCAGGAGTTGGAAGT